TTCGAGCTGGCGCTGATCGTCATGTACCTGATGATCGACTGCTCCGAGGTCGACCGGCTGGACGTGGGCGGGCACGCGCTGGCCGGCTACCGGCGCCACCGGACCCCCACTGCGCTTGAGATGGGCCTGCTCAAGGTTAGTGGTGAAGAGTGAGATAGGGAAAAGTGAGGAGGAAAAGGAGAGGGAGGGAGGGAGGGAGGGAGGGAGGGAGGAGAGAGAGAGAGAGAGAGAGAGAGAGAGGAGAGAGAGAGGAGAGAGAGAGAGAGAGGAGAGCGAGAGCGAGAGCGAGAGAGAGAGCGAAGCGAGAGCGAGAGCGAGAGCGAGAGCGAGAGCGAGAGCGAGAGCGAGAGCGAGAGCGAGAGCGAGAGCGAGAGCGAGAGCGAGAGCGAGAGCGAGAGCGGAGGCGAGAGCGAGAGCGAGAGCGAGAGCGAGAGCGAGAGCGAGAGCGAGAGCGAGAGCGAGAGCGAGAGCGAGAGCGAGAGCGAGAGCGAGAGCGAGAGCGAGAGCGAGAGCGAGAGCGAGAGCGAGAGCGAGAGCGAGAGCGAGAGCGAGAGCGAGAGCGAGAGCGAGAGCGAGAGCGAGAGCGAGAGCGAGAGCGAGAGCGAGAGCGAGAGCGAGAGCGAGAGCGAGAGCGAGAGCGAGAGCGAGAGCGAGAGCGAGAGCGAGAGCGAGAGAGAAAAAGAAAGAGGGGGAGGTGACACCAAAACTGTGACGCAACCCGGCTGTGATCGTGATTCCGTATCCACTTCCGGTTCACCCGACACCGTGACCCAGCTGGGTGGTGATTGTGACCTGTGTTCCCCGGTCGGCAGACGTGTATCTGCGCTCGGTTCGCCCAGTCGCTGGTGATGGGCGCTTACGCCTTCCACCAGAACCCGGCCAACGAGTACGTCATGACCACGGCCGTCAACGGCTGGACTGCCTTCAGACGCATCTGGGAGGAGCCGCAGGAGCGCCTGTACGCTCGCTGGGAGGCCATTGGACGGCAGAATGGCCGCCAGTAGGCCGCAGATACGCGGCTCTGTGAGCTGCATGGGGTGTGTAATCTAGGAGTAGCGTATGGGACAAGGCGCAGGGACAAAACCGGAAGCAGGGCATAGGACATACTGCGGGTAGACGACGGGTAAGCAAGGCAGAATGTAGATGGGAGGTTAGTGGGAGTCCATAGGGCTGTTAATTGCGCGCAAGGACCAGAGTTAGGACGGGACCAATTAGCCGGGAGTATAGTTGGTGTGGTGTGATCTTATTACAACCCTACCATACCTTGTTAGAAAGTGAGCCCTGCAGTGGCCGGGGGTTTGAATTTATGACCGCACGTGACTTGTGCGCCTGGTATGTCATGACCACTGTGAACGTCGTGCCTAGACCAGCAATAATCAGGGGGCGTTTGTCGGTTACCTCACGCACTGTGGACGGGTATCTACATAGTCAGTAACAAGCTCAATGATGACACTGAAAGGTCCCGCTGCGCCGCCAATAGCACGAACGTGAACGATTGGAGGACGCTGTTACAGGAAGATCCCGTTGTGGGTCAGCGCGCTGTTGTTGATTTGTTACAATTGCCTACCGGAAGCGGGACGTTTGGACTGTGTCGGAAAGACCAGCTTGTCTCCAGCAATGCCGCAGAAGCGGTTTGATGCTTCCTGACCATTACTCAGATCTGTGAGCAATTTTGATGTGTTTTGAGAGCGAAATGAAATGATGCTTGCCTGTGCTGTTACTTTGGATATTATAATATCTTATGCAAATATCTACGTTGCAACCGCGGGTCGTTACATGTTGTTACGTAACGTGCAATCGTTTAGGCCATGTGCGCCGTTAGACCCTAGTATTCAAAGCCGCCTTGTTACGTCGCTGGTTTTAACATTCGGCTTCCATTGCGGTTACGATTGCGGTTGGAATTTGCTCGTTACTATCTAATGTCCGAGGACATGGCTGAACTATGTCCCGGTCTGTTCTGGCTGGATGAAAATTATCTGCATGGTCAGTGATGTTCGTGAGAACTACGATTGATGTGCCAAGTATAGCGGGAGCCATAGTCGCGTTTACCACTGCCATGTCTTCCCCTTTGTGAACACTGGATGTTGTCCGTTCTGCGCCTTCGCACCAGGCATAATCATCGTAGTGGTGCGCGATGAACCAATTGAAATTTGTCGCTTTCTTGTGGCATGTCCGTGGCCAGTTTTAGACGTTCCCGTCTGACAAGAGGTGCTGCTTTGGGTGCTCATGCTTTGATCGTGTCGAATATACCTGAAGTCCGTTATTGGACGACTCTTTTCCTTTGAGACTTGTTTATGACGCTGCCTCCGCGCATCTCACCAGCGAGCCCGACACATCTGCCCGGACGGCGGCACGCGCCAACCACACACGGCCACCAGGCGAGGAGTCGCGCGCGAATTGCATTTATTGGTCAGCGCTGATCTCGATACAAAAAAATACAATAGTGCTCACTGGCAACGGTGTCCCGGACGGACAGGCCGGCGCCCGTGCCGGCCGTCTCGCCCCGCCCCGCCCCACGCACAGCACACCTGCCCGTCCCGCGTCTGGAGGCCGTCAGTACTTCTTCAGCGCCTTGCGGATGATGGCCATGCGCTGCTTATGCGCCTCGGTGGTGCCGCTCCGCTTGTACGGCCGGATCTCCTCGGTGCCGAAGCCCGGGATCCACATGTTCCACTTGCGCTCTGCAGCGGGCAGGCAGGCGCCCGTGAGCCGGCGGTGGACACGACCGCTCTCGACGGAGGGAGGGGGAGGGGGGGGGGGGGGGGTCGCAGATCATAACACATCCACCGAGCTCCGGCGGCCATACGCCCTTAAGACTGCATGTCAGGGTCATTAAAACATCACGAACAGCGCGAGGCCGCTGCCGCTCCCCTGGTCTGCATTACCCAAATACGCAAGCGTGCCCAAGCACACACGCCCAGTGCCAAATCAAACAATGACCCCGTCGCGTCATGCAACAAACCGCGGCGGAAACGTTTCAGCTAGCTGGTCGTGTGTACTCCTACATGCCAGGTCTTAGTCACAACACCACCCCAGCCATCGCGAGCAGACGTCGCAGGCGGCACCCCGCCCCCGACCGCCGGCAGCACGTCCCCCGGGACGTACCGAGATAGAGCTGGACGTCTTTCACGTCGCAAGCGGGCACCCCGCCCCCGACCCGCCGGCAGCACGCCCCCCGGGACGTACCGAGATAGAGCTGGACGTCTTTCACGTCGACAGTGGCGGCCCGGCGGTGCTTGGCCAGCTGGCAGGCCGTGCTGACCGTGCTCTCGATGAAGTCATCGGCCAGCTGGAGCAGCAGCTCCTCCACCTCCTCGTCCAGCTGCTCGTTCGGGTCCACTTCCTTGACGAGCTCGTGCAGCCGCTGCTTGGTCAGCACCTGATGGCAGGAGGCGCCGGGCTCGATCGACGGTCCCGTGCGCCGATCGGCCGGGGGAGGTGTACAGTGCGGAGGCGTGACCTGGGCGGGTGCAGATGCCGGTGGAGGGTGGCGGTGGACTCTCCATTTGTGCACCCAAGTGTATTGTCCGGTGCACAAATGGAGGTGCAACGGAATAACGTCCTGATCGGACCAAGGGCTGTCGTAGTGGACACCATGTAGCAGACTGCGGTGTTGACAAGTTCAGAACACAGGCCCAGCACACCGCATCTTCTAGTGCAGGAGAGAAAACAACCGTAAACCAATCACTGGTGTCGTCCAAGATGCTGTTCAAACCGGACTGAGACATGCGTTTCCATTGCAGATTGAGACTGGATAAGTACCACACGCATTACGACAAAGCTAGCCCGCAACACCTGCATCGCCATCTCTTCACCCATCCCGTCCCACCGCGTTACTCATGTCTGCATAAAATATCCTTAAGAAAACTTTCTGAGCGATTTGGTTTTGGAAGACGGCTCCATCTATAATCAGGATCCAGATCCAGGCCCAGATACAAAATAAGGCCATCGCTGATCCAGAATCACTGATAAGGCACGCCAGCTCAGTCCGACTGGCTGTTGTGAGCTGCGAGCAGGCCTGTACGCCTGTGTCTGTACCTCGCCGGCAGCGGCGGTGGCGCCACTTGTCCTCTGCTGTTGCTGTTGCTGCTGCTGTTGTTGCTGCTGCTGCTGCTGCTGGGCCGGCTTGGCCTGCTGCTGCGGCTGCTGCAGGCCGGCGGACTGTAGCGTTACCACGCCTTGCGGCACGGCCGAGGTGGCCAACGCGGCCATGCCCGGCGGCTTCGACACCAGCGTACCGGCCAGCACAGCTGACGGATAAACGGCAGCGGTCAGTGGGACGGACAGCACAGCTGACGGAGAAACGGCAGCGGTCGGCGTACCGGCCAGCACAGCTGACGGATAAACGGCAGCGGTCAGTGGGACGGACAGCACAGCTGACAGAGAAACGCGGCAGCGGTCGGCGTACCGGCCAGCACAGCTAACAGAGGAATACGGCAGCGGTCAGCGGGACGGACAGCACAGCTGACGGATACATGGCAGCGGTTAGCGTACTGGCCAGCGCAGCTGATGGAGAAACGGCAGCGGTTAGTGGGACAGACAGCACAGCTGACGGAGACACGGGAAGAGGCAGTGGGACGGAGAGCACGGCTGGTGGGGACATGGGAGGGGTTCGTGGGACGGACAGCACGGCTAGCGAAGACACAGGAGGCAGTGGGAAGGACAGCACAGCTGACGGAGAAACGGCAGCGGTCAACAGGACGGACAGCACAGCTGACGGAGACACGGGAGGAGGCAGCGGCACGGCCAGCACGGCTGGTGGGGATATGGGAGGGGTTAGTGGGACGGACAGGACGGCTGGCGGAGACACGGGAGGAGTCAATGGGACGGACAGTACAGCTGGCGAAGATAGCAAAGGATTCAGTGGGATGGACGGCACAGTTGGTGGAGACATGGGAGGGGTAAGTGGGACGGACAGCACGGCTGACCGAGAAACGGCAGCAGTCAGTGGGACGGACAGCACGGCTGGTGGAGGCACGGCAGGGGTTAGTGGGACGGACAGCATGGCTGGTGGAGTCTAGGCTGGGTTCTACAGAATGGACAGACCCTTTTTCAGACATTCCATTGTCAAAAAGGAGTATGATTATTGCGCAGTACAGAAACCCACTGCAGCCAAACCTGCAACTGCATCTGGACTTCTTGCATGTTAAGCCAAGAGAGGTCTTCACTTGCACAAGCCAGGCCTACATAGAATGTTCGCCTACAAACTACATATGACAGTAGCGTGATCATTTGCTATCAGACATATGGTTAACTTCCACATTGTTTACTGACTGGCACTATTTGTGTGCGCATTATCCTGATATGCATTCCGGGCACCTTAAGTCGAGTCCATCCTGTAAGTCCTGATCCTGTCACAGACTCTCATTCACGAGGAGACAGAACAAGTCAGTGGACGGTGTTGAAACTGACAAGATGGCACGGACGTTTGCCGGGAGGCCAGCTGCCCCCGGGCGCCCAACTCTCACCGGACGGCTGGGGGTTGTGGCCGAGCAGCTGCTGGCCAGGCGCCAGGGTGACGTAGGTCGGCTGCACGTTCATGCTGACGGCGCCGGCCACCGACTGGGCGCCCGTCAGCGAGACGAGCGTCGCGCCGGCGCCGAGGCTGGCCGGCGTCTGGGACATGCCTCACTGCCGAACGACCGAGGTCAGGTCAGGCCATGTCAGCAACACAGGAATGTTCTATGTCCCAAGGTAGCCAGCATCTGGGCTATTTTCACCCAATTTGCCCAACAGAAGCATGGGAAAGCACAACACACATCCTAAATGTGCCTTTTTATTTGTTTACCCAAGTGTTGTCCCCAACCAGTGTTCCAAAATGCATCCAGTGGGGTATCCAGGGAGTAAATATGAATTCACACTACCAGAATGCTTGCTGTCCAGCAGCCTCCACACACAATTTGTTGGCGACAGTCTGTGGCTCTTTGACCTTGAGCCCAGACACATGGCCCGCCTAGTCCATTTGTGAAGCCAGAGGTGCCTAGCTGCTAGATTGACCACCACTCGGTTTGATGCTGATTTGCCAATTTTTGACAAGAGAGAGCTACAGGCAGTGAACCCCAAGCTGGGGGGAATCAGCATGAAAAATATTGTTGTCGCTGCCACCAACTTGGCCAAATATTCAAACACTGCTTATTATCTACTATGGTTGAAGTCTACTGTAATGTATACACCATGGCTGCATGTTCAGCACTTGTTTGAGCAAACTGGTGCCAGCCCTGTTGAGCATGAGATTTGGTCATGGCCTGCATGCACTGATGACATGAGCAATGTGCACAGACTGCACGTGAGATAGCAAATGGCCATGGCATTTAAGGTACACTTCAATTTCACACATTGATACCCATTGGAGAATTAGGTAAAATCATGCATCATCACAAATACTGAACAACTGCTTTTTACTGATGACCATTAGCATGTGGTGGATATGCCTTGTACCAAGCCCACCTCATTTTGGAAGTGATGATACCTGCACTGCTTTAGTTTACTTACACAATGCATAAATGTGCCAGTTTCAATGAGGTTATTTTCCAGGTCATATAAGATGGGCTCAGTGATCTGATGACTGGGGTCAATGGGAATCATCAACACAGCTTTATGAACAACATGAAACTGAATGATGCCTGCAGTTTTGAAGTCTGCATGTGCCTATAAGTCCAATTCTCATTGAGCTTATGAACCCCTGTTGACTTAAGTCTTGGCACAGAATGCAAAATCACACCCCAGTGACAGTGTATTCTGACCTTAAAGCTGGTCAATGGATGCAGCAAGTTTGAGCTGAGCAGGAGTTTTGAGGGTATGGAGGTCCATGATACAGATCCCAGTGAGGAGTGATCCCAATCATCCTCGATGGGGCTGCCGTTGTGATCATCTTTCCCAGGTCTTCAAGCACACCAATCAGCTAGGTGATGCATGACTGACATGGTCAAAAGCTGTGCCAGTCTTCAGAGAATTGATAGGAGGATGTCAGAAAAAATATGGTGGCCTCTGAAAATGGATTTCACAACCCACCACTGAAAAGCTGCCAGAGATAAGGTGCAATCAACTCAAGGTAATTTTAAGCCTATCTTTTCTAATATGGGGATTGCAGTGTTCAGATTCCATTCATGGGGTAGACACACACTGTCCATGGACCTTCAGCACAACATGGAGAGGGGAGCACCAGGCATCAATGCCACCTTTCGCGAGACTGGAACTTTAAATACACTCAGCAACTGAGGCTAGTTATGATGTCACCTGCCTTACTCAGACAGGAGCAGCAGGCACAGCAGGAAATGACCCTGTAACTCCAGTTTTCCAGACCTGTCTACTCAGCATGATGGCATGAGACCACATGAGACTGTGCAGTCTCACCCAAATCTGACTAACTCGCTACATTGGTATTGGTGCAGGTTCATGATTCAGGATTCAGAATGTGACTTAGGATGTACTCCATCAGGCCTGGGAGCGCTAGAAGGTTTCAGGCTCGCTAGTTATGCCTGAGCAATATTCCTCTGCATCTACATCCTCAAGCTGTGATTCCTTGATGAGCCAAGTCTATTAGGATGCTGGAGTTCTTGGACTGGTGTTCTTGTCAGTATACACTCTGATTAAAAGCTTGTAGCAGATCTCCACCTTGTGATCAGCTTGTGTTGTGAGCTTGTTGTTTTTGCAAGGTTTCAACTGCTGACCTTGACTTCAAGCATGATTGAGATGAGATGACACAGAATAAGACTGAAATGATGCATGTAACAAAATTTAGAAATGGAGAAAATTGGAAATGACTCCCTTATTCAATCAGAAATTGTCAAGGCATTTTATATGTTTACAACCTTTCCATGATGTTCATGTTTTGCATGGCATTGGTATGTGTATCATCTGGGCTAGACTGGCCTGGATAACACACTCAGCTTTTGATGATATATCATACCACCTGCCTTTAACTCTGGCACAAAGGGCAGGTACCAATTTAAATAATACCTTTTCCCTCCAATTTCCAAAATGTCCAGCACAACTACGCTACCACCAGCACCATATCATATTGGTAGCTAAGCAATTTCAAATTAGCCACGAAGACTTCAGGCAGCACCATATAACATTTCATTTCCAGGCACCTGATACTTTTCCAGCCACCCCATAAAAAACAAATAGATAAACCTATCCCTGGACCTTAACATAGCACATCAAAAATTTGGATATAACAGGGGTAGTGAACCTGTAGTTTTGCTGAAAGCAAGGATAGATGTAACAATATCCAACAAACTCAGAGACTGCCTTAAACAAACTCAAAGAATGTTATTTGTACATATATATTGTACCAAATCTTGGCCTACACATGTAGCACATGTCACACTGCAAAAGTTAAAGTCATCTTTATGGTTGTCATATTATCATGTCTGTCCCTAAACAAAGCTACTTGCACCACGTCCCTGTAGTCAAAGATCCACCTATTGAATTGAATCACTCAACTGAAAAACATTTTTCATAGGTGTGAATAACTTTGTTCATACCAGCTTCTGAAGTTTGCTCAGAATAGGTAAACCAACAAAAAACAACCACAAGGGCAAGTGGTGATGTGGCAGCCTGAAAGCCCTGAGATTTCTCTGTTTGCATTGTGAAATTCCAGTGCATTTTAAATGCTCTTCATTCAGTAACTTTGTGATTAAGATTGTGGGGAAAGATTGTGCAAGATAAGATTGTGAGGAAAATCTTGGAGACACCCTGGTCCTAAAACCATCAGTCCTTGCCCCAAGCAGAAAAGTTGGCTGCCAATTTGGGGCAGGATCAGGCCTCGACTTGTCTGCCAAGTTGTGCAGGCTGGCTTCTTCCCATACCCAGAATTACAGGCACAGAAATGTATGAAAAAGGTCACAAAAAGCTTGCTCAATATATGTTTGGACTAGCCGTTAAGTCTAACCACATATGACAGGAAAGTGGAACCTATACCAGTTTATCAACTGGACTCTGCCTGTTATCCATGCGTCGCAGCAGCTGAATGGTACAGCTCCATTCGACAGGCTTTTCATGCACAAGGTATTTTCCATGGACTTACATCACACGAATGTCAACACATGCTGATTTAATCCACGGCAGGATTGGAGACAACTGCTCCCACGGACCACCTGTACCAGAAACGCAGCCCGCTCGCCAACGGACAACAAATCACGAATTTCAAGGCACTGGAAAAACGGCTTTGTCTTCGTGTTCAATCATTATATTTATGCATGGTGAGAATTATATTATACCAATGAAATCACGTATCACAAAAATATATGGCGAAAGTAGAAGTTGCTTCGGTCTGATTGGTTGTTATTAATGCTTCTCTGTTATGAGTAACTGACTTGCGACAAACGTGGCTTGCGACACTGATTTGCGACATATGTACGCAGTAGGGGCGAATGCATGGCTATCGAAAGCTGGCGAGCGGCCTTTACGTTGGGAGAGAGTGAGGTGAGGTCATCTGGTCGGACCCGGCTTCAATTGGTGTCGATTGTCAACCAGGCCCTAAGTGTTTGCGTCTGCAGAATGAGAGTACTTTGATGTAACGGGTTATTTCACTAACATTTATATGGTTGGGAAAGCTGAACGCATGCTGACATCCCAAGGTGGTGCAGCGCTTGCACATTGCATCCTCGTCGCTTACGCTAAAATTGTACGTAATAGTTGATGTATCTGCTGTCGTGTGTTTCTAAAAGGAGATGTGTGTCATTTTGAAGCTATTGTTAGGCTCATTCCTGTATCAAACATTAAATGGTCAGTGCTGCTGGCCATATGTATGTTGGCCAACTGACCATGTGCTGCTGTTTGCTGCCACAATGTTGTCCAATACTCTGAGAGGACAATATTTAAATGCACTGGTGCACCAGTATGTCATGTTCCTCTTTCATTCACACTATTAGGATACTCTGATCTGGATCATATTTTGTGTTTGCCATGCATAAGAGGTGAAAACTAAAAGTAAATATGTCTTCCATCTTGTTTTCCTTTTGTCAAATTTATCTGACCTGTCACTTATCAATGCAGCTCACTGAACCCTACTTTCACTAGACCTGATCTGGCCATGACTATAAAGTTATCAGAAGCCTGGGAAGGAATGCAGCATGCCTCTAAAATGTGTAGGTGCGTGCTGCCCTACCCCTGCCCCACCCCACCTTCTGCATTGTTCACTGCACTCTGCCTGTGACTACATGCTCATGAGCAGATTGATCATCCAGGCCACCCTGACCATGATCATGGCTTTTCTGGGGCCTGCAGAACATCATTGGGATCCCTGACCATATGGTATAGTTTAGTGACTTGCCACCACTGTTTCATGAACAGTTGCCTTCCTTGGTAACCATTCATTGTCTCTTGTCTTTCCTGGTCCGTAGGCCACTACAGTGATCTCTGTAGACTCAATATGACAGCCTTACCAATTGCACCAGTCTCAAAAGGTATCAAGCTCTCTCAGCCACCAAAATGTCTTGTGACCCCTGTTCTGCTTTACTTCCTTAGGGGCTGTGGCAATAATGCTCATTTGGGCTGGTCTGAACCACCCAGAATCCCTTGCTTTGGTGATTGACCATGGTGACTGGGGAAGGGTTGAAAGTTGACTGTGGTATATGATCTGATTTTGTTTATTTCTGACTTTCCTGGACAACCAAGTCTTGTAACCATGTCCAGTAGACCCATTAAATTGATCCAGCGGCAATCATTTTTATGCTTTTGGCAGTTTGCATCATGTATAATATCAAATCACAGAAATGTATGGTCATTAGTCAAGGCTTGTATGGCTGTCTGTTCTTTTCTGCCTTGAGGTTGGAGATGTCACATGCTGTTGTCCATGGTATGAGTCATTCACCAACTTGTTTTGTTCCATATTATGCTTGTTGGGGTCAGTGATGTGGCATGCAGTCATGCCAGGTTACCAATACAGATCGGGTCATGTCAGGTTGGGTATAGATGTCAGGCCCTATGGCTAGTGTCATGCATGGGTAATATGAGTTATCTGACTATATCTTCCAAAATGTTGATTGCTGGCCAGATCAAATAGGCTATCACCTTATCTGACTTATGTGAGTGTTTTGGTCTGTTGATGGCTGAAGAGTGTGATCCTTTGTTTGCCACTGGCTTTACAGTTTTACAATTATGGTCAATTGTCTTACATTGTCACAAGTTATGCAGCCAATTTTTGGAATTTTAACACTTCATGTGACTGCTGACAAAGATAGACATATTAGCATTATTCCTTGGGGAGAAAAAAGGAGATATAGTGGGGTTGATATGTCAGCAACATGCATTTATGGAAACAAGAGCAGAAATTTAGTCTTCTAATGGAGACGATCTCGGCGTTTTCCGGTTTAGAATAACTATGGGTGTTGACGGCTGTATGAATGTCTTAAATCCTTGAAGGGGTTGAGCTGTGTGCAGCTGTAGTTGGCAGAATATCCGAGGCATTGTGGAGTCAGGGGTCCTCTTGGCCTCTTGCATCTTCAAGTTACCAAATATCCAGCTGTTATTTATGCATATTCTTGACCTCAGATCTGAGCCATGCCTCCCAAAAAAGGCAAGAAGAAGGATGACTGGCCTTCAGATGATGAGGCTGACAAAGCATCTTCCAAGCTGTCCTCAATGAAGCTAGACAATGGAGATGAGGCAGCTACCCCTGCTAAGTCAAAGAAGAAAAGCAAGAAAATGGCCATGTTGGCCGATTTAGCAGCCGAGCGCATGGACACAAATGTACGTGGTTACTTTATGGCAGGACGCGCTAGCGGTGACGTGCGTTTTGGCATATGTTTAAATTTCAGGCATGATGTGGAAAATGTGTGGGGGATTTGTGGACCTCGTAGTTAATATTCCGGTGCACAACATGTAGTAAATACTTGCAATATAGTTTGTGAACCTCGTGAGAAACGTCGATCTCAGAGATGGGGTCCAATAGAAGATGCTAAGGAATGTGACTGCTCCGCGAGGGGCGGTGTCGTGACATGACCAATCTTGTTTTGTGGGTAATGCTGGCTGGAACAATGCACAGCACTTACAACAGTGAGTGGTGATGATAACTGATATGAATGTTATAGGGTAAGGAACCAGATGAGCCAGTCTCTGCCCCCAAGAAAGGCAAGAATGAGAAAAAGGCCAAAGAAGAGGCAAAGGCCAAGGCAAAGCCTGCTCCAGAGAAGCGCAAGGAGCCAAAAGCTCCTCCAGCTCCTGAAGAAAATGATGAAGATGAATCCAGATATATGTATGATGATGATGATCGACCAACGGGTAAGTAGACCGCTGAAACTGCACAGGACATCCGCCCTTGTCTGTGCCCTGCAAAAAATTGGGACATGCCCCTCTTGGAATGCTGTCACATTGTGTACCTTTGTTCTGTATGGTTGATTCCAGAAGTGACCAAGGATGAAATGGAGGAACTAGATGGGCAGAAGCTGTCCAGGAAGGAGATGAAAAAGCGGAAGAAACAGGTATGTGTGGATTTATGAAGTGGAGGCTGCTTCTAGAATGCATTGACCAACTCACATTTCTTTAAAAAAAAATGTTGTTGTTTTTTTACTTGTGTTTTATGTATCACATGCTCTATTTAATGTTGTACTAACAGTTGGAGAAAAGTTTTTCATGGCGTAGGTTTGGAGCTTAAGTACACATTACATATTTTAGGAGATAGAACGAGACGCAATATCGGTTGCCACTCCTTGAGTTCATATTTTTCAAGGCGATTTGATGTGAACGCGACCCATAACCATCCCGTCCTGTTTTCCCCCTGCTTCTCTGTTGGATTGTCCCGTGGATGTGTTGTTTCCTCGCCTGTGACTTCCATCTGCTGGCAACCTGCAGTCCGTCATCAGACATTAGCTCTGGAGTGTATTGCAGTGTGAACAAGTGTATTAGATATTAAACCAATCAGGGATTGTACGCACTAGACGCACTAGGCTCTGTGGGAGGATGTATCGACGATGAACTTACCTCGACAATTTCTTGAAAGAAATATGGGAATTGGCCAATTTTTCCAACCCATTTCTTCAAGGTACAGTTTGACTCAACCAGTGCAGCTCCTGTTCCTCCTTTTTTCCCGGTTCCTACTTCTGTTTCTTCTTTGTTCCTGCTACCTCGCAGTCGAAGCCATGCCGCTTGGTGGCTATCGCTACTTGCCGGCTACAGTTCAGTTGCTTCCGCTCCTCCGTGGCCGTTCGCCCGTGACCTGTGCTGACCCATGGTGTGGCAGATGGAGCTGCAGCAGCAGATGGACGCCATGACGAAGAAGGGCGGCCACGGCGGCTCATCGCTCGACTCCAACTTCACCGTCTCGCAGGCGGACAAGTCGCAGTCGCGACAGCTTCAGCTGGAGAACGCCGTCGACATCAAGGTGGGACATGCCCGCGTGCACATCTAGCAGGTACCGCTGCTGAGTCTGTCGGATCTGCGCGGGCTGAGTGGTCTGTCGGGTCTGGGCGGGATCAGTGGTCTGTCGGGCCTGGGCGGGCTCAGTGGTCTGTCGGGTCTGGACGGGCTCAGCGGTCTGTCGGGCCTGGGCGGGCTCAGTGGTTTGTGGGGTGTGGGCGGGCTCAGCTGCCTGTCGGGTCTGGACGGTTCGGTGGTCTGTCAGCTTTAGACGGGCTCTGTTGGTACCAGTTGAGACCACAGACTACACTCGTTTTGTTGTTTCGGGTGGGCTAATGTTCGCGCTGAGTGCGTGTGATGAATATCAAAGTCTTGGGGTACGCTATGCGTGTCTCATGATTTGAGTGTTGTCATTACATCGTGCATGAGACTTTACAAGTCGCGCCCGTCCCAACGTGGTAGCGTGTTGTACAGAGTGAGCCTAACTGCCTGGCGCGCCGGAGCCAGCACGGCCGCTGGGCTGTGTCCGCCTCCAGCAAGCCCGTCTGAACGTCTATCCGCCGCTTTGTCCCAGGTGTTCATCCTCCTTGTCCCAGGTGTTCAATCCGCCTCCAACAAGCCCGTCTGAACGTCTATCTGCCGCTTTGTCCTAGGTGGAGTCGTTCAGCATATCAGCGCGGGGCAAGGATCTCTTCGTGAATGCAAGCCTGATGATAGCCCAGGGCCGTCGCTACGGCCTGATCGGGCCCAACGGGTCAGTGGTCGGGCGGGTGAGGGCACCCCAGCCGCGTCGTCCGTCCGGCTATGTGAACACGGCGGTCGGGCCGGGCCGGACTGGGGTCAGTGTCGGTTTGGAGACATTCGTCGTCAGTCCATTGGCAGAACGCTTTCAGTGTTGAGTGTTCGTGAGTGCTCTCGAGGGAATGCTATCGAACGCTTGATGAGGGGAGGGCGCATGAAAGAACCTTGCCTCAAGGCAGGAGAGAAATAAGGCCCATGTGACCAGATTCCAGATTTTGCGTATGTTCAGGCTGAAGGGTAGGTAGGCGGAGGCAAATTGTGGAGACTGATCACTGTGTCATCTGTTGATTTGTGTTTTGATTTTTACACCCTGTACCTTCCCAAGCCATAGATGTAATCCCCAGATGTTTCACAGTGTTTGTCTCTAGTTCAGTCGTAGCCATATCCATTGTGCGATAAGTTTCATTCTGATCAGAATATCCAGCCCCTAAAACAATCGCCTTTGCTGCCGCTACTGACCGTCACCCAGCAACGCACACTCGCGCTAAGATTTTTCCATTTTGAAATCACTTGGGACATGTGTTAAAGCATCGGCCGTAACGCGGTTGCAGGCACGGGAAGACGACTCTGCTTCGGCACATCCAGACCAGAGCCCTCAACATTCCGCCAAATATAGACGTCCTCTACTGCGAACAGGTGAGGCTGGATGGGTGGGTTTGGCGGGGATCACTAGCCGGTACTGAGAGGGCACGCACATTGACGATTCACACGTTGATCGTAGACGTTCATGAAATTCAGTTTGGCTGTCATGTTCGAGTGGAGCGTAGCTCACTGAGCAGTTCCCGTACGCGTCTCTGCCGGTTTTGCTGTTGGAAAATTCGCCTGCCTTTTATCAATTCGAAATTTGGATCGTGCAGATGCCTGTTCAGTCCGCAGTGTGTTGAGCATGCCCCCTCACCCGCTAGTTGCGTGGATTGTCCCGTTGAGTAAGCGTTCTTGGTCCACTTTTGATCCATGATTCTGACCTCTTGGTCCTGTTACTCTCCGTGACAGAAAGGGTTTAGCGCTGTACCGGTTGAACGTCCGTCGTCTGTTGTGACCCTTCGTCGCCGTCTGCGGTATATTGAACCTGATGCGACTACTGGAGCCTGCCTTGTCCCTCTTGTCCGCTTTGTCAATCTCGGCCTGCTGCGGTTTGACCCACGTGAGTTCTTGCGACACGTGGAAGTCAGGACCCATGACCCGTGTTATCATTCGCACACGTCATCCGTCGTGACCATGAGTCTGGCCTGTTAGGAAGTGACGGGCACAGCTGGTGCTGGATGGTGGGCACGGCCTATGTGACTTTGCATGATCTGTTGTGGCCTTGTGTGACCTGGTGTGACCCTCGTTGACCTGTCGTGACAGGAAGTGGTGGCGGACGACACGCCGGCAGTGCAGGTGGTGCTGAATGCCGACGAGAAGCGTACGTCGCTGCTGAAGGAGAAGACGGAGCTGGAGAAGCAGCAGTCGGCCGGCGACATGTCCGTCATGGAGCGGCTGAACCAGGTCAGCACCGCTGTCCTGCTGCTGATAGTACCTTCCGGCTGTGATCCCGACGTCCGATCACCGCCAGATGCCCGAGGAGTCCTGCTGCCAGGGCGCACGGCGCAGTCCCGGTAGCGCCGTAGCGTCGCGTGTTTCAGCTCGGTGTCTGTTGCGGTCGGTTTCGGCAGTGGAGTCGTAGGGACGTCGTGCAGTCACCAGTGGCGTGCTCCAGCCGGACGCAGTTCCTCACGTCGGCTCTGTTTTACCAGGTGCACCCAGCTGGGAAGGCCGGCGGATCATGTTTTGCGCACACTTTCCGCCTCACCAGCTGTGCCGGGCTGTGAGCGCCGGTACACCTGGTGGTGTACCTGGTACACCCTGTGGGTTTTGTTCACGCCAGCTCTGTCTCACCAGGTGTACGAGGAGCTGAGGACGATCAAGGCTGATGCCGCCGAACCGAAGGCCCGGCGTATACTCAACGGTCTCGGCTTCTCCAAGAGTATGCAGGTGTGTTCTGTGCCGTGGTGGGCTGTCGGGCCGGCCGCCGAGTAACCTCAGTACGTGGCGCGCGGTGAGACCAAACTAAAATGAAGGGTTCTGGGACGGCTGGCCGGTGCTGCTGCTGGCGGATGATCCTGGCCTTCAGGAGTCGGGCGCTGTGTGCTGTCTACGCTCCAGTAGCGCCGTCATACCGAAGCGGCCGATGCTTCTGCAAAGTTTCTGCTGCTGTATTTGACAGGCCTGTCAAGGTCACGGACCAACGTGTACAGTGTACGTTTGCTATCCATGGAATGGTGTACGTGGTGTACGAGTTGTGGAGACGTATCAGCTATCTGTAGCGAATGCGCACGGCGCACGCTCGGTGTGGGAGCGTCGGGTCCGGCCTACCCGGTCCGCCCGTGCGACAGTGTGGCGCCACAGACCGCCGTCGTGCGGGCCGTGTGTGGCTCCCTTATCTGACGGCCGGCGTCCGCCGTCGCCAGAACCGGGCGACGAAGCACTTCTCTGGTGGCTGGCGGATGCGTGTGTCGCTGGCGCGCGCCCTCTTCGTCGAGCCCACGCTGCTGATGCTGGACGAGCCGACCAACCACCTCGATCTGAACGCCGCCATTTGGCTTGACAAGTAGGCGTCTCGGGGCAGGTGCTGGGTGTGGCGTGTGGCAGGGCCGATGGCTCCGCTGGGAAGGGGGGAGGGGCTATCGCGTATGCTGGTGGTGTTTTGAGTTGTCGAGCAGCGCCGTTTGTCGCTCGCAACGCGTCGGCGCTGGTTTGGTGCGCATGTGAGACAGGGTATTGTTGACTGTTTCAAGGTCATGTCTATCGGAGGCCTGGTGATTATTTCTCCTCCAGTTGCACTGAACATTTCGTAATATTACCATGATGCTGGTGATGGCGATGGATTGAGCAAATTTGAGATGGGTAGGGACAGCTGCCAATTATTCCAGTTGGATGTGGTTCCGCTTTTGTTTTGAAAATGACAAAATGCGTTCTTCAGTGCAATATGGCAGTTGATATTGCATGAAATGGTGATCAAATCGATCAAAAATAAAATGAAATAGTAATCGTTCGCTACATATGATCCCCGTTTTTGTTTGCAGCTACTTGCAGGGCTGGAAGAAGACGCTGCTGGTCGTCTCTCACGACCAGAGCTTCCTTGACAACGTGTGCACGGACATCATCCACCTGGACCAGCTGAAGCTCTTCTACTACAAGGGAAACTACTCGATGTTTAAGAAGATGTTGTTGCAAAAGAGGAAGGAACAGCTGAAGGCGTGGGAGAAGCAGGAAAAGAGGATCAAGGAAATGAAGCAGTCCGGGACCAGTAAAAAGGTAGACGATTGGTGTGTTGGCTCTTGTGGCTTTCGTGTTGGTGTGTTGTGTTTTGGTGGTCGTGTACTAGTGTTTTGGCTCTTTTGGCATTCGTGGAAATGCCGCCATGGTCTTCCATAGATCTAAAGATCGAAAGCTAATAACTGTGTGGGCGGCATTGCCGCTATACATAAGTCGAATTGAAAATAGTGATTCGTCTCCTTGCGTAGCTCGACAAACATCTGGCTATCATTTGACCCCAAAAAGCAGTGCTTGGGTGCAAGGCACCCCCAATGTTCTGGACGGATGCCGAGTCTTTCTCTGGTGTGCTGTCTGCCACGTTGCGCCGGACGGGTTGCGGTTTCTTGTGACCTTGTTACCACTGGCATCACTTCACCTACCTACCGTTCGCCCGTCAGGTGGCCGAGAAAAAGGAGAAGCAACAGCTGACTCGGAAGCAGGAGAAGAACAAGTCGAAGTCGGAGCCGCAGGAGGAAGACACGGGCCCGACCGAGCTGCTGCAGCGGCCGCACGAGTACTTCGTCAAGTTCCGCTTCCCAGAGCCGCCGCCGCTGCAGCCGCCCATCCTCGGCATGTACAGTGAGTGGACGGGCCAGGCACGGGAACGGACCGTGCGGGAACGGAACGGAACGAGACAAAATGGAACGGGACCAAATAGAATGGAACGGGGCGAGGCGGGACGGGATGGGGCGGACCGGAACGGAATGGAGCGGCGGGCGGAGGCGGGATGTGAGAGCGTGTCTGCCTGGTGCTGTTTACGGCATTGCGAGTTGATGTATGCGACCATATTGGAGTGAGGCGCTAAGCGGCCCGGTTGTACAATGAGGATCTGTGGACTTGGACCGTTCTACAGACAAGGTACGTTTGCGGTCCAGTGTACTCGCCGCGTTCATGCGCGTCGAAGGTCTGGGTGACGTCACCCAGTGCCCACTGCTCGCTGCTGCTGCGGCCGGACTTGTGGTGGTGCTTCTTTATCGCCCCCACCATACGTCCCCCACCCGCCCGCAGACGTCGACTTTGGCTACAACGAAAACCAGGTGCTGATCCGTAACTCGGACTTCGGCGTGGACATGTCGTCCCGCATCGCCATCGTCGGCCCCAACGGCGTCGGCAAGTCCACCTTCCTGAAGCTGCTCACGCAGCAGATCGAGCCGGTGCGCGGCGAAGTGAAGAAGAACCACCGCATGGTGAGCGATGGGGGAGGAACGGGCAGCGATGGCGGCCGGAGTAGGCCGTGAACAGGCGTGCGCAACAGGCCGCTCGCCTGTGTGCTCGTACCTTTAGTGTGACCGCAATGGGGCAGCTCAAATTAGATTCAAGTAACTGGAACTAACGACCTAACGAGCTTCTGACGTATAAGCGGTAGGGTATGAGGTGGTGATCATTGGTGGTTAAGTTGTCATTCAAGCTGCTGACGTCTTGAACTCCTAAGCTTGACGATATAAGTTGGTCGCAATGGGTTGATGGCAGTAATGTCGTTTCCGGTTCTCATAAGTTTGTGCTCAGTTCTCGACCGTTGATGAGGTCAAGGTCGAGGTCAAGAGATGGACTGGATCTGGCGGGCCTGTCCGACTATAATGGATAGGGCGCGCGCCTTGTCTGGCCCTGTTGGACGTGTGTGCACCCTGCCCGGCCTCAATGGACGTGTGTGTGCCCTGTCCGGCCTTGATGAACGTGCGTGCGCCCTGTCCGGCGTTGATGGGCGTATGTGTGCCCTGTCCGGCCTTTATGGACGTGTGTGCGCCCTGTCCGGCCTTGATGGACGTGTGTGCGCCCTGTCCGGCCTCGATGGATGTGCGCGCGCCCTGTCCGGCCGTGTTAGACGTGCGCACGCCCTGTCCGGCCCTTATGGAGGTGTGCGCGCCCTGTACGGTGACGGCTGGCGTTCGGCCGCGCCGGGTCAGCCGACTGTACGCCGCCGTTTGTGTCGTCCAGCGCATCGGCATGTTCAGCCAGCACAGCGGTGAGCAGCTGACGGCCGAGGAGTCGCCCACCGAGTACCTGATGCGGCTCTTCAACCTCAACTACCAGGAGGCGCGCAAGAACCTGGGCACCTTCGGGCTGGCCAGCCACGCGCACACCATCAAAAACAAGGTACTTTTTCCACACTGCCGCCGGCGCCCCGGTGTGGGCCTCGTTCGACGCATTGGCCCTGGGTGATGAAGTTTGGAATTGGGAGAGACAGGCAGGGGAGAATGGACCACACCGGCAACTCCCGAATATCCCGAGCTGTCCGTCTCCGTTCATGTGCTCCGTGTTTTGGCCGGTCCCGCGGCGGTAGGACCTGGCTGATCCCCCCTCCCCCCGCGCGCTCGCAGGACCTGGCTGACCTCGTCCCTCGCGCGCTGGCGGGACCTGGCTTACCTTCGCGCCGGCAGGATCTGGCTGCCCCTCCCCCCCCCCCCCATCCCGCGCGCTGGCAGGACCTGGCTGACCCCCCTCCCCCGCGCGCTGGCAGGACCTGAGCGGCGGCCAGAAGGCGCGTGTCGCCATGGCCGAGCTGTGTCTGATGGCCCCGGACGTACTCATCATGGACGAGCCTACCAACAACCTGGACATCGAGTCGATCGAGGCCCTGGCCGACGCCATCAACCACTACGACGGCGGTACGTGACCGCAGTCTGTGACACGCCCTCCACTGGGCCGGCCGCCAACTCCGCCGGCGTCCCCAGGGCTCCCGTTTGAGCAAATGGCGTACCTGGGCCGAAGCAGCCACGTTCGTGAGGCTACACGAGTCTTCTTAAGTGTCTTATTTTAGTGTCACGATCGTCGTCTGTAGTATAGTGGGAAATGTGGGTTATTTTGGATTGTAAAGTCTTCCCAATATGTTCAGTGATAATCCGGGCCTTCAGTTTTGTTTTTTTCAGTCTTCAGTATCTTCCCCAGGTCATGCACGTGCCCCATGCCAGGCCGCTCCATGTGTGAATGTGTCTCGTTATCGGTCAGGTTTGTCCCATGTCCGGCACCGGCACCCTTTAGATGTGCCACTGAAATAATCTCATGTTTTCGTTTGAGATCAAACAATATCAGAGGGCCCTGGGAAGCGCCGAACCGCTCTCGGTCTCCTGTCTTCAGTAAATTCACCCTTGCAAAATGATCGCTCGACCCAACCTGTGATCGATCGCCTATCGCATCGCCTATCGCAGCGAATCACTTAATCTTTTAACGGTTGGCGTATGTATGTGTGATTGATATAACGATGGACGTATCTATGTATGATTGACGTATGTATGCGCGAGATGCCCACATAACGACCGCTGTCCCATGGGAGTAGAGGCCTCCGCTATCGCCCCTCGTCAGCTCCGTGACGTCTCCGTGACGTCCCCCAGCCGCGTCACCGCAGCGCGAGCGTGACGGCGCGGCCCCGTTACAGGCGTGGTGATCGTGACGCACGACGAGCGCCTCATCCGCGAGTGCAACTGCACGCTCTACGTGCTGGAGGACGGCTGCATGCAGGAGATGGACGGCGACTTTGACGACTACCGGCGCGAGCTGCTCGAGAGCCTCGGCGAGGAGATTAACAGCCCCAGTATAGCGGCCAACGCCGCCGTCGACCAGGACTGAGCGGCGGCGGCGGCGGCGGCGCGCTAGGCGGGCGAATGAATTGACTCTGCGGGTGGCGGCGGTCTCTGTGGGACGCTCGGCGTTACGTGATGCGGCGACGGCGGCGAATGCCCCGGCGTCCGGTTCGGTGCTGTAATACACGCGGGCTTGTCTACGGCGCGTTTATTGTACATTGAACGAGTTCAGACACGAGCGTGGCGGGCTGGGCAGTAAGCGGCGATTGTGGGAGTCCGGCGAGATGGGGCGGGCGGCCTGCTTCAGTCGGCCTTGGCTGGGGTGCGCCGGCCCTTGGGGCTGCTGAGCGTCACCAGCGGCACGCGGCGCGGCGTGACGGGCGACGGCTGCGGCGCCGGCGGCTCGGCCGGCCGCGGCGACGCCGGGCCCTCGTCCAGCTCGCGCGTCGTCTCCTCCAGGTGCAGCACCAGCTGGGACGACTCGTCGACGGGGGCCGGCTCGGGCGGCCCCGGCGACCTGGGAGCCTCCTCAGTACTGGCGGCGGCGGCCGGGGCAGGCCGGCCGTTCGGCCGGCGCGGGCTGGACAGCGTCACCAGCGGCACGCGCCGCCCGCACTCCGGGCCCGGCCGGGACGGTGTCAGCGCCGGCTCCGGCTCCGCGGCCGGGGCCGGGGCTGGGACTGGGGCTGGGGCTGGGGCTGGGGCTGGGGCTGGGGCTGGGGCTGGAGCTGGGGCTGGGGCTGGGACTGGGGCTGGGGCCGGGACAGGGGCCGGGGCCGGGGCCGGCGGCGCTGGCGTGCCCGCGCCGTCGGCGGCCGGGGCGGGGCTCCGCTCTGTCGCGTCGGCCACCGACGCCGGTTCGCGCGCGGCGTCCCCGGCCGTGGGCTCCGGCCGGTACAGTTCTCCCAGCTCGCCCTCCGCGAACGTCACGATGGAGCAGAAGCCGTCCGTGGAGGAGACCATCAGCAGACGGCCGTCCGCGGACCTGGCGCGGCGGACGCGGGGCGGTGTCAGACACACGCCGGCCGGCGGGGCTGGCCTGCAACACTGATGGTGACGCGCCGTAACACGTCGTGGCGCGCCAGGCTGGGTCAACCGCGCGGCATGGCAGGCGGGTACGTCAGCGAATCGCAGTCAAATTCACCTGGTAGCTCGTATCGCCATTCCCTTGTCCATGCCTGCATGACAAGCGAGATGAAAGACAATCGCTAATTTGGAGTCACTGAGCTGAGCGCGAGTGCCAGAAGTAGTTCAAATGTCGGCTGTTATGGCATAAATGAAATCCAGATCGAGTGCTCGACGGGCCACTCGATTAAAATCAAACCACTCGTGGGTGCTGATCCGAGCCATCGGACGCGCCATCTGCATACCAGCTGACGTCGGTGAGCCGAGTGAAGTGGATGTTGGATATCCTGGCGAACGGCGACTGCTGTTGTGTGTCGTACAGCAGGACCGAGCAGCGCGTGGCCACTGCCATCACCATCCTGTCCGACGGAAGCGCGTGGTGGGTGTCACGAAACGCAACATGGCGAAACTACGGACCCTCGGAAAAGCACGGCTTTATGTGGTCGCGGAAGACACGCTGCCATCAAACCATGAGTAAAACGCCGCATCTTTGGGGTGAGAGCGCGCTGGGGTGAGCCCACGTCCGGGACACAGCAATGGAGTTAAACACAACGAAGATTGTTTAAGCTGGCAGTCGACGGTCTTGCTTCCAAATGCGGTACCTTGTGACAACACTTGGGGTATCAAACGCCAAAAGGTGGCATCAGGGGTGTGGTTTGTCGGCGGTCTTGCTTCCAAATACGGTACCTTGTGACAACACCAGGGGAATCAAACGTCAAGGGGTGTCATCAGGGGTGTGGTTTGTCGGCGGTCTTGCTTCCAAACACGGTACCTTGTGACAACACCAGAGGAATCAAGCCTCAAAGGGTGTCATCAGGGGTGTGGTTTCCTTTAGTGTGGCACGGCTCCAGCTACTCCCCAACGTCAAGAAGAACGTGGGTAACATCCGGAGAGAAGCCGTTTGTTGGTGTATTCTGGGGATAAGGTTTGCTATCTTTCACTACTCGGCCCTCCCCCACTAACTTATTTTGCAAAACTTCAGCACGCTGACAGCTGCTTGAGTCCCACTGGATTAGCAACAACTTTCATTCACAGGTCACTAGATAGCAAAACAAAAGAACCAATATATTCCCACTTACGTTTAATGTCAGCCTGTGTGATACCACTGCGGTCCGTGCCAAACCGGTACGACACCCATTCCCACGTGCTCATATCCGCACAGCACTAATACCCATGTGCCCATACCTGTACGGCAGCTCCAGCAGGTTGTGCGTCTGCTCCCAGAGCGGTCGGCTGGGGTCGGGCGCACTGCGCATGCGCAGCTTGAAGAGCAGGGGGCAGCATCGGACAGCGATACTGCACTTGTCTCCGGACGGCAGGCAGAACACAGGCCTGCCAGCAGCGCACCATCACCATCTCGAACGCGCGTAATTGATGACGCAATACTTCGGTACCGCCCGGCACACCGCGAACAAGTCGCGTACATACGTCCCCAGGGTAGCATGCGGAAAGCGCCCGAGTCACGCGTGGTACAGGCATGGCACCAACCCGTTTCCCGGGCACCACCAGAACCGCTGCACGATTACATGGACACAAGCGCCGAGTGGGTCGCTCACCTGGTGTAATGTGAGTGGAAGGATGTGAGCCGATGACTTGGAGAGGCCGTGATCAGTGAGCCCCTTGCCTGAAGAGGTAATGTGTCATGAGTTCCTACCCGGAGAACTCTAAGTCACTTCACAGCTGGTGAAGCTGTGCCCAGTACGAGCCGTTCACCTGGTGAAGCTGTGCCCAATGCTAGCCGCTCACCTGGTGAAGTCGTGCCCAGTGCGAGCCGTTCACCTGGCGAAGCTGTGCCCAGTGCTAGCCGCTCACCTGGTGAAGCTGTGCCCAATGCGAGCCGCTCACCTGGTGAAGTCGTGCCCAGTGCGAGCCGCTCACCTGGTGAAGTCGTGCCCAGTGTGAGCCGCTCACCTCGTGAAGCTGTGCCCAGTGCGAGCCGCTCACCTGGTGAAGTCGCGCCCGTTGAGAGCCGCCCCCTTGGTGAAGTTCTGCCCAGTGCGAGCCGCTCACCTGGTGAAGCTGTGCCCAGTGCGAGCCGCTCACCTGGTGAAGTCGTGCCCAGTGCGAGCCGCTCACCTGGTGAAGTCGCGCCCGTTGAGAGCCGCCCCCTTGGTGAAGCTGTGCCCAGCGTGAGCCGCTCACCTGGTGAAGCTGTGCCCAGTGCGAGCCGCTCACCTGGTGAAGCTGTGCCCAGTGGGAGCCGCTCACCTGGTGAAGTCGTGCCCAGTGTGAGCCGCTCACCTGGTGAGGCTGTGTCCAGTGCGAGCCGCTCACCGGGTGAAGCTGTGCCCAGTGCGCGCCGTTCACCTGGTCAAGCTGTGCCCAGTACGAGCCGTTCACCTGGTGAAGTCGTGCCCGGTGTGAGCCGCTCACCTGGTGAAGTCGTGCCCAGTGCGAGCCGCTCACCTGGTGAAGTCGTGCCCAGTGCGAGCCGCTCACCTGGTGAAGTCGTGCCCAGTGCGAGCCGCTCACCTGGTGAAGTGCCCAGTGCGAGCCGCTCACCTGGTGAAGCTGTGCCGAACGCAAGCCGCTCACCTGGTGAAGTCGTGCCCAGTGTGAGCCGCTCACCTGGTGAAGTCATACACAGTGTGAGCCGCTCACCTGGTGAAGCTGTGCCCAGTGGGAGCCGCTCACCTGGTGAAGTCGTACCCAGTGTGAGCCGCTCACCTGGTGAAGTCGTGCCCAGTGTGAGCCGCTCACCTGGTGAAGTCGTGCCCAGTGCGAGCCGCTCACCTGGTGAAGTCGTGCCCAGTGCGAGCCGCTCACCTGGTGAAGTCGTGCCCAGTGCGAGCCGCTCACCTGGTGGAGTCGTGCCCAGTGCGAGCCGCTCACCTGGTGAAGTTGTGCCGAACGCGAGCCGCTCACCTGGTGAAGTCGTGCCCAGTGTGAGCCGCTCACCTGGTGAAGTCGTGCCCAGTGCGAGCCGCTCACCTGGTGAAGTCGTGCCCAGTGCGAGCCGCTCACCTGGTGAAGCTGTGCCCAGTGCGGGCCGTTCACCTGGTGAAGCTGTGCCTAGTGCAAGCCGCTCACCTGGTGAAGCTGTGCCCAGTGCGAGCCGCTCACCTGGTCAAGCTGTGCCCAGTGCGAGCCGTTCACCTGGTCAAGCTGTGCCCAGTGCGAGCCGTTCACCTGGTGAAGCTGTGCTCAGTGCGAGCTGCTCACCTGGTGAAGCTGTGCCCAGTGCGAGCCGTTCACCTGGTGAAGCTGTGCCCAGTGCGAGCCGCTCACCGGGTGAAGCTGTGCCCAGTGCGAGCCGTTCACCTGGTGAAGCTGTGCCCAGTGCGAGCCGCTCACCGGGTGAAGCTGTGCCCAGTGCGAGCCCCTCACCTGGTGAAATCGTGTCGGGAGAAGACGTGCACAACGTTGGCGTGGCGCGCGTCCGTGCCGTCCTCGAGCAGGCCGGCCGGCGCCAGCAGCAGCGAGCCGTCCGGACTGAACGTCGGCCGACGGCAGAACGTCTGCAGCGTGTCGTCGTGGAACAGGCGGCACGGCTGCCGGCGGCCGCCGCGTCAGTGCGGCCGTGATAGCGGACAGGTGTTAGGTCAGCACCCAGCTGCTACCTCTGCCGCGCAGGGGCCGTGCTGGTGCACAACCCACACCACACAGAGGTCATGTCGGTGGTACACATCGGCCCCCAACAGGAATGCTGCGGGTGCACAGCCAACAGCGCGCAAAAGATGGCGGCGCACGGCTGGACCAAATTTATAAATCGTGGCAAATACCTGTCAAGTATCAAAACCTGACGACTGTGCAAATGAATACGCATCAAATTTCCGACATGTTGAAATTCATCGAAGACATACCTGCTGTATTATGTGTTGGATTTGTCACACCACCTCCCAAACTGATCTATTCCACCCACCTTTTCTTCTGTAGTGCCATCATCTTTCTGACACGGCATCTTTATCTTCTGCGCCTTCGCTATGCATTTTCCACTTTGTACATTAAATATTCGACAGTGCCTGAAATATGGTAGCGTAAGTTAAAGAAACTGTCCACAGGACGGACGTCTACCAGCGATATGTAGCATGTGCACAATGTTTAAACTCGCAATCTTCCTCTTTTCAGTACGTCTGCTATTTTGCTCCATCACACAACGAGCGAACACACATGTTCGGAGAAACAGACGGCGCTTACCTATCACAGCTAAGAGTTGCTACTACTTTGTTCTGTGGGTCCCACGCTACACCTTGAACAAAGCTGTCATGGCCATTCAGGATCTTCATCTTGACCCCTGAAACGAATTCAAGTGCATAGCACTTGTGAATGAAATGGAGAGCTAACAGAAGCGGAGGCGGCCGATGGACCGGCTGACCGGAGCATCCTCTCATCTCCCCCTCCCCATCCCCTTAAAACAACTGCGCAGGTGATCATATGTGCACCTCACGACGAAAAAGCGAATAATACACATTTGTGCATACACACTGACGAACAAATAATTACATGTGCCTAACTTCCATTTGAAACATCACATTGTAGTTACGAAGATGCTACAGGACAAAGTTTCGCGCCAATACGTTGGAAACTTATGGCAGGCGGCAACAACAATCAAAAGAAGTTATCTGGCAACTATCTGACGTATAGTGATGCCTTGCAATCCGAGATGCCCACACCCTCAACACGACAAAACCCAGAGCCGTCCCTGAGGAGGCTCCGCAGGGGGCCTGGCGGCTGACCTTTCTGAACATCCCAGATGATGGCGGTGTTGTCGACGGCGCCGGAGATGATGTAGCTGCCGTCCTGAGACCAGCAGAGGTCGTACACGTCCTGCAGGTGGCCGCGCAGCGTCTTGCTGATGCTGTAGTGCTCGCGGAAGGTGCCGCCGTCCGTCTCCATCATGATGTCCGGCTGCGATTGCCGCCGCCACAGGATGATGTGCCCGTCTGCCGGACGGGACGCGGAGTGTCAGCTCAGACCAGTACCGAGGTCACAGGGGCAGGGCAGATGGTCTCAGGGACAGAGAGGGTCACAGGGGCAGGGCGAAAGGTCACAGGGACAGAGGGTCACAGGGGCAGGTGGGAGGTAACAGGGGCAGCGCGGAAGGTCACAGGGACAGAGCAGGTCACAGGGGAAGAGAGAGTTACAGGGGCAGGGTGGCAGGTAACAGGGGCAGTGTGGAAGGTCACAGGGACAGGGCAGGTCACAGGGGAAGACCAGGTCACAGGGGCAGAAAGGGTCACAGGAGCAGCATGGAAGGGCATAGGGACAGAGCAGAAGGTCACGGCTCACGAAGCGATGCCATCATTAATAAATGTCAATAAAATTACTTCCGAAATATATTGGAATGTTATGTACAAATTTTGAAGTACTACACAAATTTTGAGAAACTATTCAGTCTTTCATGCTGTGCCTAATCAAGCTAATGCACAGCAGACCAAGTATTCTCATCACACCATGTTGAAGTGCAACAACTGTTCGGTCACGTAACAGGACGTTGGCTTGCCAGCACGGAAAACAATCAGAGGAATCTCACCGACATCCGACTGTCGTCTTGAATGACGTCACCTGACGGCTGTTACTGACCGTCATCGGCGGAGGCCAGCAGGATGTCGTCAGTGGGGGCGAATCGGACCACGTTGACGGGCTTGAGGTGGTGCGTGAGGTCGGCGAGCACCTCGACGGCGGCATCGCCGTCAGTCACCGTCACCTGCCAGATCTGCGGCCGCCCGGCCGGCAGGTGCCTCGTCAGACTCGGCAGACGCTGCACACGGCCGTCAATGCTCAACCACAAGGTACAGACAGTCCCTTAACTGATTGGCGCTACATACCCCTATATGGCTTTGCCAAAAATGGTGTGGATGTTAGTCGACAGTGGCACAAAATAGAGCTGGTATGGCAAATTGCAGACACAAATAAATTGAATAAAGAGGATGGATGCAGAGAGTCTTACCACAACATGGGAGTCATTGCCACCTGTTGCAATCCGGTAAGGATTACAAGCTGTTGATGAAAGGTGCACATCCAAACTGAGCACTGGGTCTCTGTTGTGCCATGATATTTCAGGCACGCTGCATTTCATTGTATGAACTGCACTTGCAGAAGTGGTTCCAGGAACTGTGCTGTGAACTTTTCTGGAAAATACCAAGGCAAGCATAATCAACAACAACTTACTGGAAGTGATGAAGTCAATTGGTATAATACCACAGCACACTTTGGTCAATCTGGTAACATTTTGTTAAAAAAATTTAGGCTTTGAGCTTAAGGACTTTAAATTGATAGGGAAACTCAGGCCTTGGAAGCACTGGACTTGGGTTCAAATGAAGGCAGTTCATCCTCTAAATTGAAATGATTTAATCAAGGCAAAAGATAAAACAGGCAGAGCATGTGATTGTAACCTTAGGAACACATTATCAGAATGCCCCATTTTACATTCATCCTAGGGCATGACATTACAGCCATGTCAAGTGTCTATGACATCAAAACAGACTAGGCCATGGTACTCAATAACCAAGATTTCATTACTGCTGGATGGCCTGAATACCAGTAAAGCCAGCTGCTGACACAAAATATTGATATTTTGCTCTAGGATGCCAGTGGCTGAGTGTCACCCTCAGAGTTAGTGATCAAGAAATAGCATGTGTCAACAGTGATAGGTTGAAAAGTAATATTCTCCTTGATGTCTGAAAGCCACTGTGCTTCCGAAGACCCACCAGTGCAGGATATGGCTTACATACAACCAGGCTCATGGTGAGCATTGGTACAATTGTTTGCACCTCAGGTGGGAATTCAAATCAGGCATGCCCATTCCAAAAATGCTAGTTCACATACGCATATTTCCACTTAAAGTAGCAATGTACTATCAAAGCACACAACCCGGCCTAGCTCAGCCAGTGAACGATTTCCTGCTGATGAAATAGAACGCCGCACCCGTACATTCCGACACGACACCGCCAAGCAACGCACTCAGACGAGAGTAAAGCTTCCAACTGAAAGGAGAAAGCCTGCTTTAAATGCATCCCAAAAGCTTAAACTTACTCCCCCTGCGCGGCCCCAAACTCGTCGCCCTTTTGTACCTCCCGGGTCTGCTACCGCGCCAATTGCACATGTATGCAAGCGCGAAATAAGGTGCTCCAGCTTCGTCACAGATCGGCCGATATTGTATTAAGTGTATTTGGCGCCAGACAGCTGTAAGGAATGGCAAACAAAAAACGAGTGTATGTATTTTGTTTACAACTGCAGATTACATGCACATCATGGTTTTCAAAGATCCACTCGATACGTAATTGTTTGATACACATCACGCCGCTGGTAGATATCATAGATAGCAGGATCTCTACTCAACATGGATGCCCCCTTCCACACCAGTTTCTCTATTTTTGTTCTTTGTAGAGGTCCTCACTTTCCTGGCAACATTGTTTATCAGCCGAGAGGGCACGGCCTAGCAGTGCCCCAAACGCGCTTGTGCGTGGGGGGAACTGGTGCTGCATTTCGTCGCGGAGGTCGTCTGCGCTCGAAGAATCAGTCAGTGGGTGGGGGGAGTGCGAGATATTACGGATTTGCGGCCGTGCATCGCGAAGCTTTGATCTGATCTGAGTCCCTGCACTCACCATGTTCCATGCATATTTGAGCACGCGCGTGGTGTTGGTTCCCGGGGCTATTCGTCAGTCTAGGAGATTCATATCATTGTCACCAACTCAGTTGAAAGTTAATGCATGTTCAATTTATAAGGAAGACCACAAAGAGATACAGAACACCCTGAAAAAGGTATGTGTTGGGACATCACTGGTTGTAGCATTTCATGAACAAGTCAGCATATAGGAAAATGCAACATGAAGTGCCTGTTTTGTTGTGTCATTTTTGTATGTCATATCATGCATATTTGGTGCATCAGTGTATTAATTGCAAGTGTTTTATACTTTCTTTTTACTGGTATTGGTACCAGTGTATGACATTGGAGCAAAACAATGTTGTTATGTAATCCACATTTTGTGTATCAGCATGCATTATCCTGAGTACTTTTTATAATATGTGGATTTCTCAAATTTTGACTGAAATTTTATATGATATGCTTCCTTTACAAATAACCATTTTTGAGCCAGTTATATGACATAAATGGTTAGTTATCTGGAGTATAATCTGTGATATCTCTGTGATTTTATAATCTGTGACTTCCATTTACTTGCAATCTATGCTTTTATTTCAGATAATAGACAAGGATATCAACCCACATGTAGATCAGTGGGAGGCAGAGGGCAAATTCCCTGCCAGAGAGGTCTTCAAGAAGCTGGGCAGTGCTGGGCTGCTGGGAGTAACCAAACCAACAGGTTAGATTTGTAGACCAGTATGATTTGATCCTCATTGCTGTGCTTTTTTATTTTTCCATCTGTGTTTTGAGATAGCTTACTGGCATTCTGCTCTAATCAGCTGGTATATTCTGTAACATCACCAGGCTTCCACAAAGCATTGGTGACAGTTCATGAGCTACTAAGATATGAATGATTGAGCTGCATGGGGCTGAATTGTATTGCTGAGACAGGTTAGGCTAGCCCTCTTTAAAAGGGTCCACTTGAAACAGACCTGGTTTGAGTTGGCATGTGACAGCCTCTGGTGCTTAAAAATGTATTTGAGAAAACTGTCTCAGTACATTTTAACATATCTTGGTCTGACCTATTGTCATTTGGCTGGTTGGTCTGCTGGTTGGTCCCATGCAAAAGTTTCCTTTTAATTCTAATTTATACTCTGTGGGGGCAAGGCAACAATATGGGTCATACCAGGTATTGTAACACTAGACCAGCCAATGGCATTTTTCTGTGTGGGAGCCTTGGTTGCCATGTGTGGTCCCTTTGTAGTTGATGTCAATTTTGGAAGTGTCTGCATCTGCCTCTGAACAGTGAATTCTTTTAGCTTCTTCAACTTATGTTCTTGTTGTGACATGTCATGTGTTTGTGATGTTTAGGTGGATGTGTACCACATCCCTGCATTGCACTGAGTATCAGTATTGAGCATGCCTGGCAGCTGGCATGCATACTCATCAAGTGTCAGCCCTTCTGACATTTTTGCACAGGGTATGGCGGTTTGGGCCTGGACCAGACATATGAGGCAGCTGTGCTGGAGCAGCTGGGCCACATCCCCTGTGGTGGCGTGCCCATGGGCATTGGCATCCAGATAGCCGTCTCCACGCCCATCCTCGCTAGGTACCGCGTCTGCGTCTGCCTCCTCCTGTCGGCCACTGTCGCTCCTCTGCCCCACTGGCTTCACCAGCGATCTGATCTGGGATCCGCCCCATCGCGAGGAGCTGGCCTGTGCCCATATACGTCTTTTCTGTTCCGGACCCGGATCCACTCGGCACGCGAATACCCGTTGACCTCGCGTCAGTCCGCCCACCGTAACGATCCTTACGTCCGGCCCCGCGCCTGACACAGCGACGCTCTCAGTCGGCCCGCCCTGTGACGCGGCGACCCGTTTATCCGGCAGAGTATGGCGGCGCCGGTCTGGACTTTTCGTACAGTGTGGCTCTAAACGAGCAGCTGGGGGCGGTCCACTGCGGCAGCGTGCCCATGGCCGTGGCCGTCCAGACCGACATGTCGACGCCCGCTCTGGCCAGGTGATTGGGCCTGCGACCTCAGGCGCTCGGCCGCCCTCTCCTCGTCCCTCCTCATATCCCGCTCCGCCTCCGCCCTCTCTCGTCCCTCCTCACATCCCGCTCCGCCTCCGCCCTCTCTCCTCGTCCCTCCGCATATCCCGCTCCGCCTCCGCCCTCTCTCCTCGTCCCTTCTCACATCCCGCTCCGCCTCCGTCCTCTCCTCGTCCCTCCTCATATCTCGCTCCGCCTCCGCCCTCTCTCCTCGTCCCTCCTCACATCCTGCTTCGCCTCCGCCCTCCCTCCTCGTCCCTCCTCACACCCCGCTCCGCCTCCGCCCTCTCTCCTCGTCCCTCCTCACATCCCACTCCGCCTCCGCCCTCTCTCCTCGTCCCTCCTCACATCCCGCTTCGCCTCCGCCCTCTCTCCTCGTCCCTCCTCACACCCCGCTCCGCCTCCGCCCTCTCTCCTCGTCCCCCCTCACATCCCGCTTCGCCTCCGCCCTCTCTCCTCGTCCCTCCTCACATCCCGTTCCGCCTCCGCCCTCTCCTCGTCCCTCCTCACATCCCGCTCCGTCCCCGCCGTCCCTCCTCGTCCCTCCTCACATCCCGCTCCGCCCCCTTCGCGCTGCGCTCGCGGTGTCTTTTCATTTTTCCTTTTGGGTTTCGTATTCGGTCGGCAAGCTCTGGTTATGTTAAGACGTGCTCTCCTTGAATGTGTCAGTGTTATTACGTTTCCCGAGCCAGCAGTTATCTAAAAAGGGCGTAGCATTGGTATTTTCATGCGATCAGTCGTCTTGTTCGTTATAGCTTTGTTAGAGTCAAGACTGCCATGGCATTTCATTGCCATGTTAATTACTTTGTTCTTAGTGTTGGTATGTTCTGCTGTCGATAAGCTCCAGTATACCGTCTAGCTCCGTGCGGTGTGGTGTCGTCTGACCATGACCAACCCAGCCGACCCGACAGCCTAGTCTGACGCCCACTTCCTTTGACGCTCCCCCCTCTGATGTTCTCTCCCTCTGACCCCCCTCCCTCTGATGCAGTGTTGGAAATTCCAAAACTTTTCCTGGCAGCAGTGTACAAATTTTATATAGTGGAATACAAAATTATCCAACTGCCGCGGGTTATTACAGTTTTATTTGGGTTATCTTCAAGAGATAATAGTGCAATGAGTGGTACTCAACAAAAGTGCCCCTTTTCTATATACAGCAATTCATGTAAAAACACTTTAAATGAAAGGAAACATGAGTATTAAACATGGCACACTGAAACAACACGGTCTCATACTCCGTACTATGAAACACATGTGCGTATACATGGGTTTGCAATTTATGGAAGGCTTTGGGTATACGCCCTCCAAAACAGAGATTAATTACGCATGTGGCTTAAACACTCTCCAAAATGGCGGATGGCTACAAATGGGACTTATACACCCTCCAAAATGGAGGGTGGGTAGGATACGCACAGGCAGAGAAAAATGGTACACAGAAAATGCAAATGAACATGCCACAGACCTACTGACAGAACAACCTACTCATGCTCCACCACGATCACGCTACTCACGCTCCACCACGGTCACGCTACTCACGCTCCACCAGCTAACTGGTTTTAAAAACAGCGAAACATTCGTGCCCTCCACCTTCCAACTCCCGGTCAACACACGAGGCCCTGCACGTCCCATCCGAACAATAGAGACAGGTAGCACTCATAACCGATTTACCGAACCAGCGCAAGTACGATGCCTGACAGACCCGTGCAGGCCGACGAAAAGGGATCGGAGTCAGTCACTCCGCTGACTCCGGCGGATGATGCAATGTATTAAGGGATTTGGATGCGCTGTAACGGACATTATTGCGAAATGTGGTGATTTATGTTGCAGCTGATTGATGTTTTTGCCCTAATAAACCCTTCTCCTTAAGTTGGGGGGTCAAAGTTATGGTGTCATGTTACTCTGGTGTCCTGGTGTTTTTTTCCGGAGTGGAATGGCTGTCTCCGAACAGTTTTTGGCCATTTATAGCGACGTTTTTCGACTTGAAGCCTGAATTACTAGCTTTTATTCCGCACCCTTAAGTGACAAATTTAACTTGGTTTAAATCCACACCTGTTGTGGCATTTTTGTACTCCGGATGCCAAGAAATGGCCAAAAATCCAACCACATGGCGGTTCTGGATGAGTACAAATAAGTCCCTCTTCATAATCGTGATGCCCACCTCTATGCAGCTTTCCTCCAAATGTTGACAAATCCGTTCAAGGCATGAGCGCGAGCAGAATATTCATGCCCTGGACAAATCAGTCACGAGGAGGCAAATCATTATAACCAATTGGAGAGTTTTGCTATGTTCAACCTCCAACCTGAGCTGGGAGGCGGGCGCAAGCCGCTGAATAGTTGAGACGTTTCCGACGCTGAATTGCGAGTAATTCTCTCATTTGCATTGCCATGACACAGGATGGCGCGTGAGTAGGCGGACGTCTGTGGGAGGTGATTGGGCGTGTGGTTTTCTATGACTGTTCGTCGCATCCTTAGCAATTATTGCGGTTCGTCGCCAATGGTAGGTTAAGTCATGTTCAGGTTTGAGTTGGTCTGCGTAGGGAATAGGAAGTGAGGGCTTTGCTAGTCTACAGACTGGTGCGATTCGGGTACTCGTTTTTCATTTCCCGGCATTGTTCCAAGGCGATTCCATTCAACATTCACACACTTCATTTTTCACATTTCCATACATGATTTGCCATATACCTAGGAAGCAACACAGGCTGCTTGATATTGGGCATCTTAGTCTGGTGAGTGCAAGATTTGTGCTCTTGCAGATATCAATACATGGCTCCTGATGGAAGCAGCAGGTCTCAAGCTGTCGCACTTTCTGGTTTTATTTTGTCCTGACACAAAGAGGTACAATGGGTTTTTCTAAAAGCCGTTTTTGTTGCATCATGATGGAGTACAAAACATTTCATTTTACCTAGTCACGATTCTGGAGAACAAAATCTACCTGGTATACATTATACCAGGAAACATCGAGGTTTCCAACACTGCTCTGATGCCACCTCCTTTTGATGCTGCCCTCCCTCTAACGCCCCCCTCTGACGCATCCTCTCTTTGACTCCCCTCCCTCTGACGCCCCTTCCTCTGACGCCCCCTCTCTCTGATGCCCCTCTATGACGCCCCTCCCTCTAATGCCCCTCCTATGACGCCCCCTCCCTCTGACGTTCCTTCCTCTGACGACCCTCTCGCTGATGCCCCCTCTCTTTGACGCCCCCTGCCTTTGACGCCCCCTCCCTCTGACGCTCCCTCCTTCCAACGCCCCCTCCTTCTGACGCCCCATTCCTCTGACGCTTCTTCCCCTCTGACGCTGCTCCCCCTCTGACGCTCCTCCCCCTCCGACTCCCCCTCCCTCTGATGCCCCTCCCTCTGACGCTCTCCCTCCTTCTGACGCCCCTCCTTCTGGCGCCCATCCCTCTAACGCTCCTTCCCTCTGACGCCCCTCCCTCTGACGCCCCTCCCTCTGACGCCCCTCCCTCTGACGCCCCCTCCCTCTGACGCCACCTTCCTCTGACGCCCCCCTTCCTCTGACGCCCCCTCCCTCTGACGCCCCCTTCCTCTGACGCCCCCTTCCTCTGACGCCCCCTCCCTCTGACTCCCCCTCCCTCTGACGCCCCCTCCCTCTGACGCCCCCTCCCTCTGACGCCGCCGCCAGGTGCGGCAGTGACCGCCTGAAGCGTGAGTTCCTGGCGCCTTCGGTGGCCGGTGACCTGGTCTCCTGCCTGGGCGTCAGTGAGCCTGGCTCCGGCTCCGACGTGGCCTCCATCCAGGCAAGTGGCGGCAGGAGGTCCAGCTGCCAGCTGCTGCCATGGGAGACGAACAAACGGCAGCGGTGCTGAGGTCTGGGGCTCGGCCTGTTGTCATGGAATGGTTTTTAAAAAAACGTCATGCCTCGGATCATCTAGTGATTGTTATCCATGGTTTGCGTGCGTAACGTGGAGACCTTGGCGAACCAGTGATAAACTCGGTTGTTCTTGGTGCGTTTGTGCTGTACATGCTCGGAGCCTGGAGCAGGGATACCTCATGTAACGCACTCATGAGTTGCGGCTATTGGGATAACGACAATCATTGTGTCCTGAGAATTCAGCCGATAGGTTTTGAACTATTTTTGACTTTAGACCAAATGGCACAATCGGATTGAACCAGTGGTTATTATTTGATGACAAAGGATTTGGTCAGTGGGCCGAAGCGGTCACGGGCCGGAAAAGGCGTGTGATGAAGCACGGGTACGGCCCCATGACAGCTCACCTTACACGCTCTGACCTGGCGTTACTTGGGGCAGACGAGGGCCGAGCGGAAGGGCGATGACTTGGTCATCAACGGCCAGAAGATGTGGATCACTAACGGCTGTCAGGCCGACTGGATCTGCCTGCTGGCCAACACCAATAAGGGCGCGCCGCACAAGAGCAAGTCACTCATCTGCGTGCCCATGGATACTAAGGGTAGGTGGCGGGCGTGTAGGCGCGGCGGTCGCGGCGCCGGCGCTCTGCGAGATAGCCAACCTCATCCTGTGCCCCACCCCCCCGCGGCACGAGGGATCGTGTCTTAACCACTCGCGGGACGAGGGGAGGGCGAGGGGAGCACACGACATGAACGCCAGATGGGCAGGCGGGATGTGGGAACCATCCTGCACTGCTTTCGGCAGGCGCGCGGTAGACGGCGGCATCTGTTGGCCTGCACTTCGATGGTTGGCCAGTGTGCGGATCGTGAGCTGTACGTTGGCGCCGATTCGTGGTCGCCAATGCCCCTAGTTGTCGCGGTGTGAACTTTCGCCAGCGTTTAGATAAAGTGACAGCGTGTGCCTTTGTCGTTGTGGCTGTCTACCAGCTTGGCGCTGTTCCCGGCACCAGATCGTGAGCCTGCGGCGTTCGTGACCGTCGCCGTCCCGTCGACAGGCGTGACGATCGCCAAGCGGATCGACAAGATGGGCATGCGCAGCTCGGACACGGCGCAGATCTTCTTCGAGGACGTGCGCGTGCCGGCCGACAACATCATCGGCGAAGAGGGCAAGGGTTTCACCTACCAGATGGAGCAGGTCAGCCGCCGGCTGCTGCCGCACACGGAGAGGTGGCGCCAGCCCGGTCCTGGGCCGAGTGTTTCTTCGCTGGATAGGCTCCAACTCTGCCTTAGAGGGCTTACGAGTATTTGGTACCCCTTAACGTCAAACCAGGGTCGCTGCTTCAAACTATTGTCTGGGTCTCCCCTGCCGTGCGCGGAGCCGGAACACCGATTCAAACTGGCCCGTGAGCACAGAGCTCAAGTCCCGTGAGCACGAAGCAAAGGGCTCGTAAGCACGGAGAGCGAAGCTTGTGACCCCACCCCCGTCTTGCTGCGCTGACGGGCCGCGCGCGCCGCTCCAGTTCCAGGAGGAGCGGATGGCCGGCATCGCGCTCAGCCTGGTGCCGATGGAGCTCTGCATTCAACAGACTATTGAGTACACGCGCCAGCGCAAAGCGTTTGGCAAGTCGATCCTCGACAACCAGGTGGTGCACTTCACACTGGCCGAGCTGCAAACCGAGGTGGAGCTGCTGCGGTCGCTGCTCTACCGATCCGTTGGTGGGTGGAGCAACAGCGCTCGCGTCTCTGCGGGTCCGGACGGTGGGAAACGTCGCCGTTCTGCGCTCGTGAACGGCAGTGGTCAACGCCATCTATCAGGGTTGTAGTACAATACTGCTTGCTTGTATCGCATGTAGGGTGCAGTGAATACGGACAGCATGACTGGATTTCAAAGTACCCGACACCCATGAGTTTAAACTCTGAGTCTGAACTCATATCTCACCACGCTGTAACGTTCACCAAAGACTGCCTCCATGAGTTGTTGGAGATGTACGTTTTCAAGCTTTAAACGTGAGCGCGAGGGCACCTTCATGCTGACGGTGTTGCCGTCGCCTCGTCCCACTCGCCGTGTAGCTCTGTGGTGTCGACGACTGACAGCGCGTCCGCCCGCGTCCGGCAGAGTCGTTCGTGCAGGGCGAGGACGTGACGGAGCTGGTGTCGATGGGCAAGCTGAAGTCCGGCCGCCTGGTGCGCGAGGTGTCCGACAAGTGTCTCCAGTTCTGGGGTGGCATGGGCTTCACCAACGAGGTCAGTCGCGGCAGAACCGGCCGTCGGCGGCTGGTGCATGGGCGTGGTGTGCTGGCTGAGGCGCCACACGGGCTGGTTTGAGGCAGCCTGCTGTGTGGTGTGGTCTGCCGGGTAGCCTCGTCCGTCAGAGGACGGTGGTTTGTCGCGCGCGCCTAGTGTACATCGAGCGGTGTAAGTTCGCTCGTGGAAACCGGCGGACAAAGGTATCTGTAACTGTTCTCAAGCTAGCGCCGGGACAGTTAGAAATGGAAGTCTCTGGTTGAGATGGGAGGGAGCTCTCATAGTTCGCACTTTCACGGTCCATCTGACATTTTGCAAAGACTTCGAGAGCAGTTGGTGTTTTTGCTGGAGACCACAGGTAAGAAATTCAACACATTGCCGACCGTACTGTGTTTTAATGACTGCTGGCGTCGGAGGCATTATGTTGTCACGAACCTTTTGACAGGTGCTTTCATATGTTGAGGTGGGTATGATTAGGGATTTGGGGCAGGCCTTTGAAATTTGATATCGTGCGCCGGTATGGTTAAACGTAAGCAATTACTTTCCAGAAAACATACGAGATATAAGAAAGAATGGCCTTCAGCTCCTAGTTTTTGGACGTTGTAAGTTCAAAGTTGTTATGGTGTTTAGTTGATGATCTGGAACATGCCAGGAGGTGCTTGTTAAACGATTTTGTAGTGCCAAATAACAATTATATTAACGCTACTGAATACCGTCAATAGAATTGTACCGTCAACAGAATTGCACCCTTAATATAATGGTACTGTCCACATATTTTTTGTTGGGCACCACAGCGTCGTTTAACCAGCACTTCACGGGATATTGAGGTTTTTTAACGGGGAAGAAAGTGCCCGTCGTGCCGTGGTGGGAACAGACCAGGTAGATATACCGGCGGTGTCTGGGCTTCCTCAGGATAGTATCGTATAGGCTGAGGAGAGGGACTTATCAGCCGTCGTAGATACGGCTTGATGCGAGCTGGGCATGCCCCAGCTCTTCCCGTGACGTCGCTTTGGTACAGCAGCCGTCCTGGACCAGCTGGTCACCGCTGGCCGGACCCAGCGGCGTGACCCTGGCCGACGCGCTGTTCCTGCGACCTCGGCGGGCCCGGGGCCGGTGTGCTGGCGTGAACTGAGCTGACCCTGTGCCCCTGCTGTTCCCCAGGTGCTTGTCAGCCGCTTTTACCGGGACCTCCGCCTCCTCTCCATCGGAGCGGGCGCCGACGAGGTCATGCTCAGCATCATTGCCAAGTACATGGGAACGCTGCCCAAGCCGGGAAAATAGCCATGTGCGAGCCGCCCGGGAGCTTTGTGGGACGTCTGTGAGCTCGCCTTTGACTGACGGGCGTGGAGAGAAATCATATTCGGGGAATGTTACGGCGGAGAAACGTGACACGGTGTGCATCTGCGCATTGCGTGAGAGGAGGCTTGGACAAAAAGTTGCGGGGGACTGGTTGTACCGTATCAACGACCACACAGTTAAGCGTTTGTTGGGCACTGAGCTAGGTTAACAATAAGTCGTAATGGCTGCCATTGTGGATGGATTGTCTTGCGCAATCAAATTTGCATTCTTCGAGTCGAATTTGTGATGGATGGAGTTGTTGATTCTGATGTGAGCAAGATAATATATTTTGATATAGGTCGTGTTCGAAATAGAAACGTTGGCTTTTAGAAATGTGGCACGGTTTAGTTCATTTTTGTGTGGTTTCTTCGTCTTCGTTCGATTTACAGTGGTTAAAAATGTGGTTTGTGTGACAAGGGTAGTTTTCTCGTGGCACCATTCGTTTATTTAGGTGACCCCTGGTTCTCGACAGCGATGTTGTCCCTTTTGTCTCGCCGATGTCGAGAGTCTTGTTGAAATTGGACAATTAGTGCCAACCCAACTTACTGTTTCATTGCGCTGGCGTGGCTCAATTTACTGGAACACTCACTATGCACGCGAAGTTTGTAGGTTGTTTGTAAAAGATGCCGTGAATTCCGTGTTTGCCGCCATAAGCTTGAGCGATCAGACAGCTAATGACGGAATTGTATCATGTGACAGGTAAATAAAGTATGTAATACAAGGCACCGTGTATCGATTGAACGTTGCATGCTTCGGTGCGTGGCGAAGCCAGTCCGGACCACCGTTGTGCTGTGCGTAACAGCAGAGTTGGCACACGACCGTGGCTGACGAAGTCTCAGAGGAATCCGTCACAGTGTAGTGCCCAAACCTGGTGCGTGCAGGGAAGCACACTGGCCTCCGCATTTAGCCCGTAGTCGCACTGACACGCGTCACCGTCCCTGGTGGACACGCCCGGCGTAGCGAGCTGTGCTTGGACAGAACATGCCCGGCGTAGCGAGCTGTGCTTGGACAGAACACACCCGGCGTAGCGAGCTGCGCTTGGACTGAGCACGTCTGGCGTAGCGAGCTGTGCTGGGACAGAACACGCCCGGCGTAGCGAGCTGCGCTTGGACAGAACACGCCCAGCGTAGCAAGCTGCGCTTGGACAGAACGGAGTTTTCGCCTCACCTTTGCGATTATCGGATCTGTGACCTGCCTCGCATCGCCTAAACGCCGGCCGGTGAGTGGGTGCAACTCTCTAACCTGTGGTCTGCCGGACCCGGCCGGCGGTCTGCCGGACCCGGCCGGCGGTCTGCCGGGTCCCGGCCGGCGGTCTGTCGGATCCAGCCGGCGGTCTTGCCGGGTCGGCCGGCGGTCTGCCGGACCGGCGGCAGTCTGCGGGACCCCGGGGCTGCCGGCCGCTGTGGTCTAGCGGCCCCGACCGGTGGTCTGCGGGACTCCGCTGGCGGTTTGCTGGGCCCTGGCGGTCTGTTGGGCCCCGCCTGCGGTCTGCCGGACCCGGCCGGCGGTCTGCGGGACTCCGCTGGCGGTCTGCCGGACTCCGGCGGTCTGCCGGGTCCGGCCTACGGTCCGCTGGACTCGAGCCGTCGGTCGCTTGAATCGATCTGGTGCCGCGCCGGTTCGACGGAACACAATGGACGGACGCTCTGGTCATGCGGCCCGTGCCAGTCGATGTCAAATGGCTCGGAGCGCCCGGTTGTCTGCAGTGGGCAATCGCGCTTTGTTGGCCCAGGAACGCCGATCGCTCGCCCGTGGCGCGCGTATGAAGCTGGCGCGAGCCGGGTTTTGTCATCGGCAGTCCCCCTTGGGCTAGTGCCGCTCGCGAATGTAACAATGTTTTGGAGCGCTTCGAAAAGCGGCGGCCATTTCTCCAGGGCGGTGGCGCCGATGGCGTTCAGCTGTTGTGTATCGTTTCAGATTGTCTACGCCCCGCGCTCTGAATGTTCCACGTCAGGCAGTGTGTTATTGACCTGCTGGTGTCTACTGGCCTCACAGCGGTGGGCGCCAACAAAGACGCGGGTGTTTAGCGCTGGTGCTGTAGCGTTCGTGCGAAATTTTCGTGCAAATCGGTGTTGTCGTTTGTAACGTGCTGGCGATCTCTGGCCGGTTTGGATTCCACAATGGGGAGAGGAGGGAGAGTCAAACAGTGAGGAAAACTCATGAAGGAGGTAAACAGACGCGTGAACAGACTCGAGGAAAACTCATGAAGGAGGTAAACAGACTCGTCTTTTAATTTGGGCTTAGAGCACGTGATGAGCTAAGGCGCGTGCCTAGGCTCCAAGTGTAGGTCCAGAACACCATGCGAAGCTGAAATAACTATCCAGATCCCAGATCCCGGGACCCGTATTTGGGATCGACGCACATTTCAAGGCCAGATCCTAAGCCCACCATTTGAGGAGCTTCAGCAAGTTCGCCGGATGATCCCGCCCCCAATCTTCCACCGAGACCGGCCGCTGTTGGTCTCATCCGTGCCGCGGTGCCTCGTCGCGGCAGCCCCTTGTGAGGCAGCCACTCTGGTCTGTCGCCAGCTGATAACCGTAGGCTGGTCTGGCCAGTGTGAACTTAGTTCTTGGAACTTGAGCCGAGGGTGGTGCGAAAGCCTGATCACCGCGACCTCGGCGAGGCCAGTTTATCAATAAGTCTGTTGTGAGATTGTATGACTGTCGACGGCCGTATCAATGCGGTTACGATCCCAGTGATCCACGGCACGGGCGCAGGGGGAGGGGGCGACGTTGCCCCAGCGCCCAGCGGGTCCTTTGCTGACGGGTGGCGCCGATGCTGGGACGGTGATGTGGCGGTTCACGGCCCCAGCTTCCCACCACCTTTCAGAAAGGACGTTAGTCAGCGCTAGCCACGGACCCCAGCGTGCAGACTCGGACGTAAAGATTGGCTTAAGTAATGAGCGGTGCGTACGTTGCCTCCAGCCCCATCGCATGCTTAAAGTCGTGCGGAGTCCTGCTTTGCATGCGGTATCGATGTGATCGCCCACTGTGCTGACCCGAGATGACCTGGCCGGCAGGTGGTGATCAGCCGGATGTACCGTGACCTCCGCCTCCTCTCCATCGGCGGGGGAGCTGACGAGGTCATGCTGGGGATCGTCGCCAAGTACATGGGAACGCTGCCTAAGCCGGGCAAATGATAGACGGGGCCGGTCCACGACTTGGGCCAGCTGTGGGGCGGGACTGTGGTGCTCCTCGAGCAGCTGTGCTCACCGGATACACTAGCACGTGCTCCGCTGCTGAGGATTCACGCGGTGTGCTCTGGGTCAGATGTGAAGATTTATTGACGACTTTAGCCTGGGTATACACTACAACGGTGTGTGTTTGGATATTGCGGAGGAGTTTAGTTACTGTTGGATGTTGTTTAATGCGTAACTCCCGTCAGGTGGTCCCGGAAGTCGATCAGGGTGAGCGCCGTAAGGGTACGGACAACAGACCCAGTGTAGAGTTGTATGGTGTCGGCTATGAAACTTGGACAGTTCGGAGGCTACTTGGCAAACTGCGTTCGTACAAACATGACAGGCCCTTGTCGCTGCTCAGGCGTCGTAGTGCCGTAATGAATGGTGTCTCTAGATTTATATTTAGCTCGTCGTTGAAATAACGCCAGTTTCTATGTTTTAATCTCACACTTTTGTTTCGAATTAAGACTGAATAGTTTAGTACGTTATGCCTAGGCTCCACCTCTTTCGCGTTGGGATAAGCTGACTGCATGGCGTGACGTGTGCTAGTTGCAGCAGGTCTACCGTATTCGAGCCCATTATTGTTCGTTCAATTTGAAATGGTCCGCGTGGTATGTGTATTGTTCTGCGTGAAACAGTGCAACGTGGATGGAATTTGATGAAATAAAGAATGTATTTTTCGCTGTGAGCATGTGCATTTAGTATAATCATGGTCACACGAATGCTTTTATGGAAGGACAATTTGCTAGGAAAAAATGCGTCTATCCAGGACCACCCGCTAACCCAGGGCAGCTCGCAAATATTGGCGGAACACGCAGGTAAACGGTACTGTACACTGTGCAGGTAATGTGGTTGCGTCTACAATGCATGCTGTTGCCTACTGATGGAAGGTTTAACCAAGAAATTGGCATGCGTCTTCGGCGCGTGTGGCGCACAATCGACCTTGATGCACACCGCAAGCTCTGAAGTACGGAAGCGCGGAGGAAAGCCAGTGTTTCTTGGTTTCGTAAGCGGAATTGTGTGTGATCGTCTGTCCGCTGCTTAGTTCGTTTTATTTTTAGCGCGCCGAATGACCGTTTGGGTCATTTGGTGCGCGTCCGTTTCGTTCAAGCTTTAACTTCACTCCGCCAAGCCGGCTGTGAAAGCCCCACGCTGTCCTGCCGCTGAGTCAAAACAGCAACATATTAATCCGGCCATCGACGGGGGGCATCGCCGCCGTCGCGCCCCCGCCTCGCCCGGCCAGATGGGAGTGAGCAGACCAGCGTCACGCCTGATTTCCTTCAATTCCGCTCCGCTTCTGCCGCAATGAATTTCAATCTTCAACCGGGGGCGATTCATGCAAATCATCGGCGCCGGATTGACGCGTCGCGCCGCGCGCCGCCCTTTGTCGGCCTGTGACGTCACGAGAGCAGCAGCAGCCGGCTGGCGGGCGTCACGGTGATGACGGCGGGGCACGGGGCCGCGCGGCGGCCCACCGCTGTCCGGTGGACGCGTGTTACGTCCGGCCTGCCGGGCGCGGCGCGCTGACTGCCGGCGAGGCTGCCGGGGCCGGGGCCTTCCCACCGGCGCCGCTCCCCGGGTCTGTGACGCTCTCCCCTCGAACCCCCGCCCATTTCCCGACGTGAAATATTGCGCCCACGCCGGGCCGCTAACGGCACGGCGAAGGTCCCTCTTCCCTCCCGCACCGCGGCGGCCCGAGAGGGGTCCGAGGGTCAGACCCGTCGGGCCCGAGCCCGAGCCGGCCGACTCTGCGGTCCGCCGGGCCTCACCGGGCCGAAAATGGCGGCCCTCAGCTCGGAGTGGTCGGCCGTCCACTTGACTATCAATAGCCACGAAGGATCTCCACTGATGGCTGCACAATGGGATGGCCCCTGCATTTCGGCTCCCAGATTCGTCATCTTCAGACGCTCGTGATTCGATAGGCTCAGATCTAATGCATTATTCAGATGACGTCTGACCTTTTGTAATGAATTCGCTTATGAATCTTGGCCGTTCGAAGGGAAGATGGACGCGATGTCAAGATGGCCGCCTGACGGTTGCAATGCACCGCACGGTGAGCTCGGGTCCTGTGACGCAAACGTCCTGGATTTGGCGTGGTGCATCCATAACCAAGATTTCGTGCTTCATATCGCACTAACCTGTCGGCAATAAACAAGCTGGAGAAAGGCCTTTGCGTCGGATCAACACTGGCTGCACTGCTGTCGTTTGAAAGCGTGTGCTGTTGGGAAACATCTCACTGTTTCCACTTCCGTGCACTTCCTTATCATTGCAAAGACTCGAGACTTTGCTAATGCCGATGGTCTTAGAAATATGATTCGCTTCCTTGTGACTTAGAGGATTACCACAGCGACTCCCTCGGTGTTGTATGTCATAAGCAGACTTGTTTGTGTCGTTGAACGTGGTGAGCCAATGTCAATCTCACGTAGATGATTTCAAGAACGTGGCGGCGTTCTAACTTGCGCCGTTTTCCAATACATAAGTGTGCGCTGTTATAAGACGCTTTCCTCTTCGACATTGTTGACATTACCATTGCAAAGACTCGA